AAGGCGGTGCGAGCACGAGGCCGGGCGCGAGCCTCGCCCACCCGGGTCTCCCCCGGTGGCGCGCGTGCGCGCGGGTGTGCGAGCAGGGGCGGGGCGGGGCGCGTTGGGTTGGGGAGGGAAGGGCACCCCACAAGGGCAAAGGAGACCCTAGTCCCGCTAGACGGTAGCCCTCGCAGGAGCGAAAGTTGGAAAGGGACTGTTTTCTGCTCCTCTCTCACTTTCCCACAAAGAGAGAGTCCCACCCCTGCCAGATCCAAACATCCCACTGGACAATCGCTTTCACCCTTTGAGAGAAAGGAAAGCCATCCTGGGTGGTTTCACCAGTGGTCCCATCCTCTCAGATTCCTGGCCAGGTCGGTTGTCATAGTAACCCCTCCCCAGCCTAAGACACACACCCCCAATTTTCATCTCTGCTACCTCTTTGTGGTTTGGAGCCTTCCAAACCTCTTAGGTCTTCAAGAGGAACAGGTTGCTAAGGTAACTGAAGTCCCTGGTGGTCCTTCTGCCCCATAGTCAGTTACTGTGGCAACCCCCCCCAACACACATGCACCTTGTACAAGGACATTGACCTCTAAGAAAAATAAGTACCTCTTCCTCAACTCCTCCCCCCAAGGCCACCCAGTTGGCATTACCATGGTAACCATCTTCCTCTCTCATCATGGGAGGTCTATGGCCCTAACCCACCAGGTGTTTTTTATCTAAAGGAGGGGATGCTGTCCTGCAAGGCAGCTGCTATGGTTACAGGATCTGGACCATATGGGGGGGAGGAGAGAAACAGGCAAACCCAGTCCCTGGTTACTATGGTAAAAGGACATCCTCCCCTCTCCTCTTCAATGACCCTAGGAACTAAGCTCACCAAGCAGGGTCAGGACATTTTGGGATTGTCAGCAGGGGGTGAAATGTCTAGAAAAGGGGTCATCATGGTAACAGTTTCTGCCAGTACTATCCCTACTTTTCTGAGCACATTCAGAAAAGAAGGATGGTTCCAGGTTGCTATGAAAACTGACATCCCCACCCCGCCCCACTCCTGAGATGCTGCAGGTATGCCCAAGTTTATGGGACTTCATAAAGGGTTCCCTGACTTTCTAGATGCCACTTGCATGGGTAAGCTCTGTTCTCTTGGGCAGAATCAGCTGACTTGGGGTTTTCTGGTTCTCCTTCCCTCAGCAGAGCAGCTGAGCCTGACTGGAACCACCCTCTCGGAACTCCCCCAGCCTGCAGCCTAGGAGGTAAGACATCGCTGTGTCCCCGCACTCACACGGAAACTGCCCTTTCCTCATCCCCAAAGCCTTTCCCACTCATCTCGTTTGCTCTACCTGCTGCCCAGGTCAGATGGGAGCGAGGCAGCTGCACTGTTTGTGGAGCATGGAGAGACTGGAGAGGTCCAAGCTCAACTTTTCACTCCCTGCCTTTTTTGGGTGCATGCTCCCTGGCTTTCTGGCTCATGCGCCCTGCTGGTTTCCTGAGCTACATATCTGTAAGCTTGGTTTTTGTCTGTCTCGTCCTGTCTGCAGGGCAGTCCCAACCCAGTGATGGCCTCTTTCATCCTGTGTCCTCAGGACACGGTCTGGCACAGACAGTACTCACTCCATTAAACATCTGCTGAGTTGATGAGTTGATTTAATTAATTACCAAGCCATTTTTAGTTTTGCAGCAGCTGGCAGGTTAAGGCTGGAGAAAGCTCACCAAAGATGGACTGAAGAGCTGGCTAGCTGTGCGGCCCCGAGAGAGCTGAGTTTATTGTTTTAAAGCACAACTCTGGAGCCAGGTTCTTGAATCAAATCCTGGGCCCACCACTTCCACCTCTGTGACCTTCAGCAGATGTCTTTACCTCTCAGCACCTGAATTTCCTAATCTTAAATGTAGTCATAACATCAGGATGAAATGAAGGCCAGGCTTCGTGGCTCATGCCTGTAATCCCAGCACTCAGGAGGCTGAGGCAGGAGGATCACTGTGAGTTCCAGACCAGCCTGGGCTACAAAGTGAGCTCAAGGCCAGCCTGAACTGCATAGGGAGACCCTGTCTCAAAAAAGACCAAAAAAAAAAAAGAGTGAAGTGCTTACAACTGCGAATCCTTACAAAATGCTTAGAACAGGGCCTGACGTTATAAACTGCTAGACTTGTGATGTTATTATATATCCTCATTCAGAATGATGTAGAACATTCAGACCTTCAAAATCATCACTTGGAGCTGGGTGTGGTGGTACACACCTGTAATCCCAGCACTTGGGAGGATGAGGCGGCAAGATTGCCACAAGTTTGAAGCCAACCTGGGCTACACAGTGAATTCAAAGCCAGCCTGAACTACATAGTAAGGCCCTGTCTCAAACACACACACACACACACACACACACACACACACACACACTATTCTGAGCCAGGCATGGTGGTCCTCACTTGTAATCCCAACACTTGGGAGGCTGAGGCAGGAGAATCACCATGACTACATAGTAAGTTCAAAGCCAGCCTAAACCACATAGCAAGACCCTGTCTCAAAAAACCAGAAAAAAAAAAAAATCATTCCATTGACCTTGCCCCAACAAATAGTTCTGTAGTCCCTAGAGCTCATGAAGACAAGACCAAACTTACAAGGGAGCTACATGGTTCCCTCTTGGTTCCCCTCATGCCCTCACCACAGCTGGCACCCGGCCATCAAAACTGCTGATCCCTAGGAACCCAGTTTCTGTCCTCTGCCCTTCTGGGCACCTCCTGGCCCAGTGTCCTCCAGAAAGATGGTGGCCTTGGAAGTGGAGACCTGATCCCGGTCTCCTGGTGTCCAAACCAGTTTCCCTGTGTTAACAATTTACACCACTCATTCATTCAACGCATGTGTATTGAGCGCCCACTATGGGCCAAGCCCTGAACTGTGTCTGGGGATACAGCAGGGAACAAAAGAGGCAGAGCAGATCCCTTGCCCTCCGTGGGGACTCTGACAACAAACAAGAGAGTCACATCCACATTCTAATTACCAAGGGAGAAAAGTAAGCTGGGGGTGGAGAAGAGGAAGTTGAGGGACAGGGAGAGGCCCTGTTGAAGAGGACGGCCAGAGCCAGGGCTCCCTGAGCCAAGGGCTGAGGGCCTGGCGGAGGGGCAGCTCGGCAGGTGGCAGGTGGGGGGGCAGTGCTGCAGCTGGTGTAGATGCAGGTGCATCTGCACTATGGGAGGGTGCTGCTGTGGCCAGAGCTGAGTAAGCAGGTGGGAAAGGGACCCATGTGGGCCTTGTGGACCACAGTGAGGACACAGGTATCTCCTTTGAGCAACAGGCAAGCCTTTGAGGGGTCTGAGTAGAGGCAGTGTTAGTTCTAGCTCTCTAACTCCATTCTTTTTTGGGGAAGCTGGGGATTGTACCCAGAGCCTTCCCACTGAGCTACATCCCGAACCCCTTTTGTTTTTTGACGCAAGGTTTTGATAAGTCACTAAGTTGCCCAAGCTGGGCTCAAATTTAAATCTTCCTGCCTCAGCCTCCTAAGCCAGTAAGATTGCAGGCCAGCTCTAACTCGATTTTAACAGGACTGCTCTGGCCCTCTGAGAAAAACAGGGGACAAAGGTGGTAGAAACAAGAACGTGGTCTCTTGCTGCCTTTCAGTGGTATGCAGGGGGCACTGGGGATTGAACCCAGGGCCTCTGCACTGAGCTATGTCCCCAGTCCTTTTTTATATTTATTTATTTACTTCTGTGTGTGTGGTGCTGGGGTCAAACCCAGGACCTTGTGCATACAAGGTTTCCTTTTGTTTTGTTTGAGACAAGGTCTCACTATATAGTCCAAGGTAGCCTTGAACTTACTTTGTAGCCTAGGCTGGTGACCCTCCTGCCTCAGCCTCCCAAGTGCTGGGATTACAAGCCTGTACCACCACGCCTGGCATATTTTTATTTTTTTTATTTTGAGGCAGTGTCTTACTAAGGATAGCTGGGACTACAGACACATGCCGCTGTGCTTAGAAAAAGTCACTTTTTTTTTTGCAGTGTTGGTGATGGAACCCAGGGGTCCCATGCATAGCTGTGGTACTGAGCTACACCCAAGCCTGCAAGTTACTCTTATTTCTTTTCTTTCCTTTTTTTTTTCCAGTAACGGGAATCGAACTCACAACGTTGCGCTTGCCAGGCAGGCGCTGTGCTGCTGAGCTAAATCCCCAGCCGCACAACACTCTTAATGTGCAACTCAGATTCTTTTTTTTTCCCTCCCCCAGTGGTGGGGATTGAACCTGGGTCCTCATCCTCATGCTTGCTAGCAAGCACTCTACCACTGAGCTATACCCTCCAGATTCTTACGTGTGATCCAGACCATATTAGAGAAGACACCCAGAACTGGGGGTGGGTAAAGCGGGGAGGGGAGGCATTCCTGCTTTGTAGGAAGGAGGGAGAAAGCAGAAAGACAAGGGCAGGGCCCAGGCACATGGTAGAAAGGCAGAGTTTGGCTCCAGGACCTTCCTGAGCTTTGCAAATTATCTTACTTTTCTTGTTGCTGAGATGAAATACCCAACACCCAAAGTTAAAGGAAGAAAGCATTATTTAGCTCACAGTCTGTAGAGGTTTCAGGCCATCATCAGCTGACTCCAAGGCAGGGTGGCACGGCAGACAGGCATCACGGAGGAGAAACAGCTCATGGTAGGCAGAAGACAGCAAAGCAACAAGGGATGACCACAGTTCTTTCTGCCCCTTACATCTTATCCAGGCTACCTAGGGGGCGGCACTCACACCCTTAATCCTAGAGCACTTGATCCTAGCATCACACACTGTAGATCCAGCCACCTCTGAGAAAGCCCCACTATGACCGCATGAGACTTTGGGGGGACACCTAGACACAAGCCATGACAAACTGAGGAAACCCCGGCCTCGGCCATCATCTTTTCATCCACTGCATTCTCAGTTCCTGGCCACAGGGAGACACAGCCGTGATGGAGACAGCCCTAGCTCTGCTCTCTCCGGGTGCACGGCCCAGTGCGGCAGACAGGCTCCTTCCTATATGATGACAAGCCCCAGTGGCCAGGGCTCTAGGCTTGGGACTCAACATGGGGTTCAGGGAAGGCCTCATGGAGGAGGGGGCATCCAAGCGGAGCCCTCAAGCCTAAGTAGAAGTTCTCCAGAAGAAGAATGTGGAGAGATGGAGTGTCAGAGGAGCCCCTTCTAAACAGAAGGAGCAGAATGTACAGTCACTTAGAAATAAGACCAGTTTGACAAAAAGCACCAACTGATTTAGGCCCAGAATTAGAGGGAGGAATGGCAGGAGATAAGGCCAGAAAGGTAGTCAGGGAAGCAGGGTGTTCAAAGAAGCTTTAACCTTTTCCCCTAGGCACTAGGGAGCCATGGCAAGTTCTGAGCATCCAGGAGGGAGAGGTCAGATCTGTGCCCCTTTGGTTACCGAGACCAGGGGAAGGTTCAGTGGGACTCTGGTGTACCCAGATTGGGAGGAAGCTGTGAAAATGGGAAAGAGGGGACAGAAATATTCAGGAAGTGGGATTGGCTGGGTCTCTGATGTCCCCTCTCTCGGGGAGGGGCAGAAACCTGTAACAAGCATTCATGGGGAAACTTTCAGCACCTGCTCCGAGCCCCGACTTACACCACCTGTGCCCAGACCAGCGAAACCTTCAAAGTCTTGATGGGGACCGGGAGACAGCGCCACCTAGGGCCTATTTGGGACTGCAGCCAGAGAATGGGGATGCCTTGTGTCCTAGGGTGGCAGCCTGCGAGTGTATGTACGGCTGATGGCACCCAGGGCTTTGTCCCTGAGCTCCGTTCCCAGCCCTTTTTATTTTTTTATTTTGAGACAGAGTCTCACTAAGTTGCCCAGCTTGGGCTTGAACTTGCAGTCCTGCCTTAGCCTCCTGGAATCCAGGGATTGCAGGCTTGCACACACACCCCACACCCCCCCCCCCCCGCCTGGCTAGGTGGGGCAGCTTCTTTTGATGTGATCTATTCCACTTCAAGATTGTTAAATTGTAACAGAGTGAACATAAAATGAGATGGATGTGGTGGCGCACACCTGTAATCCCAGCACTTGGGAGGCTGAGGCAGGAGGATCGTGGTGAGTTTGAGACCAGCCTGAGCTACAAAGTGAGCTCAAGGCCAACCTGAACTGCATAGCGAGACCCTGTCTCAAAAAAAAAAAAAAAAAAAAGTGAACATAAGATAAAATTTTATCATCTTACCATCTTAACCAGGTTTAAGGGCACAGCCCAGAGGTATTAAATCTATTCATATTGGCCAGCTATGGTGGCACATCTCTGTAGTCCCAGCACTCAGGAGGCTGAGGCAGAACGATTTCAGCTTGTTTCAGAACATCCTCAGCCACATACTGAATTGAAGGCCCGCCTTTAAAAAAAAAAAAAATTCTGACTATTCTTGCAAAATCAGTGTTTGGCTGACCATCAAAAGATCACCTGATGGTACCTGGGGAAGTGAGAAGGGGCAGAAGGAGGGGCTTGGGGTGATGCAGGGGGCTGCAGCATTAGCCTGGCCCAGTATTCAGGGCCAGCAGTGGGAAGGAAGGAAGAGATCAGGGGTGGCTTCCAGGAGAACAGTGGAAAGGAAAGTGCAAGTTGGGCTTGGGAATGGAGTCAAGTTGTTTAGAACTGACCCTGAATGTGGAGAAGGTGACAGACTTTTTGAAGGATGAGACAGAATGAAGAAAGTGATTCGGGGGTGGGGAGAATTGAGCACCTAATGTGTCCCTGGTTCTCTCCCGGGTGGTGCTGGGAACTCAGTGACCAAGACTGCTGGGGACCACAGGTCGAACCCTCATGGTGGTTCCAATCCAGTGAGGGACAAAGACCCTTTCCACATAATGATGACTTAAGAGTGGTCAGGCCAAGAGGGGGGAACCCTAGGAAGCTGTAGGAGCCCAGAGTAGTTGCCTGATCCAGGCTGGAAAGTCAGGGAGAACTTCCTGCTGGAAAGGGAGGGGCAGTGAAGGCTGGGAATGTAGCTCAGCGGCAAAGCTCTTGCCTAGCATGCGAGGCCCTGCGTTCCATGACCAACCCGAAAGGGGTGGCTGAGGGAGGCAGCTTCTGACGGCCAGCTCCAGCTTCCCCTTCCCTTCTGTCTCCCCAGGATGCCCTGGACGCCCAGGTAGGGCCTGGCCTCGGCCCCATGCGACTCACGCGCTGCCAGGCTGCCCTCGCAGCTGCCATCACCCTCAACCTCCTGGTCCTCTTCTATTTCTCATGGCTGCAGCACCAGCCCAGGAACTCCCGGGCCCGCAGCCCCCGCCGGGCATCCGCCGCCGGTCCCCGTGTCACTGTCCTGGTGCGGGAGTTTGAGGCCTTTGACAACGCGGTGCCCGAGCTGGTGGACTCCTTCCTGCAGCAGGACCCAGCCCAGCCCGTGGTGGTGGTGGCCGACACCCTCCCCTATCCACCCCTTGCCTTGCCGCGCGTCCCCAACGTTCGCCTGGCACTGCTCCAACCTGCCCTGGACCGGCCCGCCGCCGCCTCGCGCCCGGAGACCTACGTGGCCACCGAGTTCGTGGCCCTAGTGCCGGACGGGGCACGCGCTGAGTCACCAGGCCAGCTGGAGCGCATGGTAGAGGCGCTGCGGGCTGGAGGTGCACGCCTGGTGGCCGCCCCTGTCGCCACTGCCAACCCTGCCCGGTGCCTAGCGCTGAACGTCAGCCTGCGAGAGTGGACTGCCCACTACGCCCCGGCGCCCGCCGTGCCCCGCTGCGACGCCCTGGACGGCGACGCCGTGGTTCTGCTGCGCACCCGCGACCTCTTCAACCTCTCTGCGCCGCTGGCGCGGCCGCTGGGCAGCAGCCTCTTCCTGCAGACCGCCCTACGCGGCTGGCCCGT